GGAGCAGGAAGTGAGGTCACAGTCATCCAAACCACAGGAGCAGGGACGTGAGTTATCTGAACCCCTGTCCAGGCTCCGTGGGAGGGAGGGAGTCTTGGTGGAGGATGCTCGAAGGTTCCCAGGAAGGTGAGTACTGATAGCAAGACCACCTGGACCCCCAGACACTGTGAGGATGGCCTCTCTGCTTCCTGTTTCCAGGACAACCCCTTCCGCCAGAGGATCGCCCAGGTCTTCTCTGAGGATGGGGACGGCCATATGACCTTGGACAACTTCCTGGACATGTTTTCTGTGATGAGCGAAACGGCTCCCCGTGACCTCAAGGCATACTATGCTTTCAAAATTTATGGTGTGTGCATGGCCCCAGGGGTGGGAGATATAGGGGTGGGGTAGGAGCCCCCCTCACAAATGTCTCCCCAAGGGCTTCCAGGCCCTGCCCGGCCCTGTCCTCTATCCCACCCCGGAACCTCTGCACCATCCCCTTGCTCACTGCATCCCAGCAGTACTGGCCTGGCTGGTCCTGGAACACACCAAACTCTTTCTGCCTCTGGATCTTTGCCACTGCTGTGTCCTCTGCCTAGAACATCTTTTCCTTGGCTCCTTTTTATCCCTGAAGCCAAAAGCAGGCCCCACCCCAGTCACTCCCCATCCCACGATCCTATTTCTCTCCTAGCACCGGGCAATGCTGCTTAATTTCTTATTCGTTAATCTGTTCATTTCTTTTTGACTTTCTGTCTGAGGAGACCCCAGGGTAGCAACAGTATCTGTTTTGTTCGGACTCTGTGTCCCGTGCCTGGCACATAGTAGGTGCTCAGTAAGTATTTATTGAATGAATGAATGAATTAATTAATTAAAGGCAGTTATCTCAGTGCCTGGCACCTAGTAGGTATTCGATAAATACTTGAGTGAATAAATGAATGAAAAACAGTTACCATGATGTCTCACACCTAGTAGGTGCTTAATAAATACTTGTTGAATGAATGAATGAAAAAGTTATCACAGCACCTGGTACACAGTAGGCACTCAATGATTACTTTCTGAGTAAGTAAATGAAAAATAGTTATCACAGCGCCTGGCACACAGTAGGCATTCAATAAATATTTTTTGAGTGAATGAATAAATGAAAAACAGTCTTCAGGGTGCCTGGCATGTAGTAGGCACTCAATAAATACTTGTTGAATAAATGAATGAACTCCCAGCGGGTCTCTGCCTGATTCCAAAGCAAGACCTAGATTCTACCTCAGGGTCTTGGGTGACTTCCAGTGACTCAGTTTCCTCCTCTGTCCATGGAGACAAGCCCAGCCCGCCTGCCACCTGCCGTCACTCCCCATCCATCCTGCTCCACAGACTTTAACGACGACGACTACATCTGCGCGTGGGACCTGGAGCAGACGTTGACCAAGCTGACTCGGGGGGAGCTGAGTGCCGAGGAGGTGAGCCTGGTGTGCGAGAAGGTGCTGGATGAAGCCGATGGAGACCACGATGGGCGGCTGTCCCTGGAAGACTTTCAGAACATGATCTTGCGGGCACCCGACTTTCTCAGGTGATGAACCCCACCACACTGCACAGTCCGTTTCCACATCTGAAAGGTGCTCTTCCAGAGACAGCTCACAGACTCCTTTTGTGGAAATTCCCGTGTTCATTCACTTGTGACCTTGGGAAACTTTCTCCATTTCCCTGGTCTCAGTCCCTGCATCTGTAAAATGGGGATTAGGGATCCCGTGGGCACCTCTTGTGCGTGGATGCAGCTCTTTGGGCAACTGGAACATGGCTGGACTTCAGCCCTCGTTGCCTGGACAGTTTGCAGCGAACAGTCTACAGCTGTAGTTGGCAGCCTTGGGGGGAAGCAGAGCCCCCTCTCCAGGGCTGACGTCGAGGGCTAAACGAGTGACTAGACGGGTTGGCAACGTAAGGCCAGCAGGCCACCTCTGACCCGACGCCTGTTTTTGTTCCTCTCGTGAGCTAAGAATGGTGTTTACATTTTCAAACGGTTGACAAAAATCAAAGTAATAATAACCCATGCATATGAATATGATGTGAAATTCCAATTTCTGTGTCCCAAAATAGAGTTTTCTGGCACGCGGCCATGCCCATTCGTGTACATATCGTCTGTGGCTGCTTTCGTATTGTGACAGCACAGTTGAGTCATTGTGCAAATTTGAAAGTATCAACTATTTGGCCCTTTACAGAAAAAAATTTGCTGGGTCCTGAGTTAACACATGGAAAGAGTTCAGGGCAGTGCCTGGCACGTAGTAGGTGTTCAGTAAGTGCGTGCTGCCACTGCTGTTGTTGCTATTGTGATTGGCATCAACCTTTCATGCACCGAGGACCTCCTCTACCCTGGATAAGCAAGACTCATCTCCTGGCAGACAGACACACGGAGATAGAACACAGGCTGAATTCCCTGCCGCTGACTGAGCAGCCTCTGTGCGTCCTGTCCTGCACATTCACCCCTTCAGCCCTCATTACAGCCCTACGAGGGGGAACAGCTATCATCCCCACTTTACAGAAGAGTAAACTGAGGCCCAGAGAAGGCCAGCCACTCGCTCAGAGTCCCACAGCAAGTTTGGGGTGGAGCTTGGATGTAAACTCTGCCCCAAAGAAACGTGCTCTCAACTTCTATGGGGGTCAGGAGAGCCACGGTCTGGAGTTCCTTGGGGGCGTCCATCTCTCCACGTGGCTTCCTGCCTGGAGTGTCGGCGAGGAGGGTGATGGGGGTGGCCCTCTGCCCAATGGCACTGACTCCTTGTCTCTTTGCACACAGCACCTTCCACATCCGCATCTGAGGGCGCCGCGGAGGAGGAGCTCGGCCGGAAGACGGGGGTGACCCCGCTCTCCACTGTGCCTTCTGTTCTCTGGGAATAAACAAGTCACTGAGTCACCTCTGCTGGGAGGACACATTTTCCACCTTAAATCTAGAAGATGGGAAGGAGGAGGCATAGAATCTTGTTTTCACCTTGGGTTGTGTGACCCTGGGTGTGGCCGCACCCTCTCTGGGCCACGATCTCTCTGTACAAGGGGATGACTTCTAGATCTCGCTCCACTCTGAAGGCTGGAAATGCCTCATTGTGGGTCTCCATGGGCAGAGGTGGGGGGGAGATCAGGCCAATGCTGTCCCACCCCAAGGTCCCCCAAGGCTGAACCCTACCCCTGACTGCTCAAGTCTCTTCTTTTCCCTCAGGCCCTGAAAGGAACTGAAACTTTCCCTCTTTGCTGACTCGTTAGAGCTGCCAAGGGGAGACTTCTGACTGGGGGCAGTGGTGGCAGGAATGTCATTTGCTGAGGCAGACATGGCACTTTACAGTTTATGAAGCACCTGCTCCTCTACATTGCATTGGCTCCTTATGACATCCCTGCAGGGTTGCAATCATGCCTTCATTTGAAGGGAGCAGAGTGACCCTAAGGCCACACCTCAAGTCATTTGCAGAGGCTGACGTGAACCCAGGCGCACCTCATTCCAGATCCCAGACCTCTACACCTTGTGAGTTTGGGGAGTCACACACCCACGCCACCCAAGGTCGTCCCAGGACCCCCATCTATGGTCCCAGTCAGTCCAAGGAGTGGTCATTCCTGCAACCAAGACCAGCCCCCAGGGACCTTCCCAGACACCTTCACTGTTTGTCATTCCTAGAGAGCTCGCTTCCACCCTGACCCCCATTTCTTAAGCCCCTACTGTGCACAAAGCCCCAAGTTTTATATGCACCCTTCCAGTCTGTCCTGAGAAGGAAGAACTGCTCTTCTTCCATTTTCCAGGTGAG